CTTAACGATTTTCTGTTGCCAGATTCAAAGGATGAAATTGAGGACGAATTGTCTGATGATGAATTTTATTTTGACAATGCTGAAGGTGCATAATGGGTTCAGTTATATATCTAACGTTGTCTATGCTGTTCACTCATTAGTCATTATATAACGACATTTTATTTATTTCTTGCTAGGTGAAGGCTGTTCACGAGGTGAACTGTATGAGATGCATGTTCCTGGCTTGTTAAAACAAAAGTGGGATCCATCAATGAGCTGTGTCAATCTTCATTCGTACTACATAAGGTTTGTGCCTGATCCCGCGGATAGGGTCTACAGAAAGTTTGGTCTCTTCATGAAGTCACCTCTTCCCATTGAGGCTGAGACTATGGACCTCGAGCTTCACCTTGCTTATCAAAGATTTGTACGTGTGAAGATCTTTCCAGCAGGAGTCACCGAATTTGATAATGATGAGGTATTGTTTAATTAGATTAAAGTTTAACTACATGACCTTATCTAATTTGATTATTTATATTCAGATAAAGCTAGCCGAGCACTTCCAGGAGGTCGCCCTGAAGGTTCTTTTTGAATTGCGGGAGCTTATTCCAGAATTTGTTCCCTTAGGACTCCAAGACTCTTCTAGAACAAGCAAATCTACCTTTTACCTTCTTCTTCCAATTAGTCTGCATGATGCAGAAAGTGTTGTATCTGTAGATTGGGTGACTATCAGAAGCTGCTTGTCATCACCAGTCTTTAAGGCTCCATTTAGTTTAGTGGAGGAGATAGTTTCTCCAGTGAGCTCTCATTTAAAACTTGCAAATGGCTGCTGGAATATTGATGATGTGAAGAACAGCTTGGTTTTTACGACCCACAAGAAACAATTTTTCTTTGTCACTGATATCTGCCTTGAAAGAAATGGTGACAGTCTTTTTAAAAAAAGCAAGAAAAGCCATGCGGAGAGCATAAAAAATTCGTAAGCTACTAAACTACTACTGTTCAGTAATTGTCCGATTGTGACTTCTCTCAGAGATGCCATGTATTCTGCTCTTCCTTTCTTGTCTCTCTCTAGATTGTTTTTGTTATACTATTGTTTTGTCATTATATACAGAGCAGTATAACAATCCTCTATAAAGTTGTTGGGACTCTAGACTTTAGGGTTCACACGATTTATCTTTAGTTTAAGGGAACTTTCTCCTTTATATTGGCAAAACTAGGTATGGCGAGGAACTCAAGCATCCTTCTCAGCCACTCTTGCTTGTGAAACCACTTTGTCATGTTCGGAACTTGCTTCACAACCGAAAGCGGGATAATTTGGGTACATTTTCCAAACTGGTATTTGCATATTACAATTCTTGGGCATGCACATGTACACACAGCACACTCTTGTGTAATCTAAGTGTTCACCGTTCTCACATTTTTTTGTTCAAATGTTAATTCCATTCTCAGATTGCCACAAAGCTGAACCACGTGAACTTGAGGAATATTTCATAGAGATTCCTCCCGAGCTTTGTCAGTTAAAGATTAAAGGATTTTCTAAAGATATTGGAAGTTCTTTATCCTTGCTACCATCAATCATGCACCGTGTGGAGAATTTACTTGTGGCTGTCGAACTGAAACATGTGCTGTCTGCTTCGATCCCAGAGATAGCTGAAGTTTCTGGTGAAAGAGTATAATCTCATTTCACTTGATAACCCATTTGTTTGATTTTCGTAAAAATTGTTAACGTGTGATCCTTTATTGACCAAGTGAATTGGTATAGGTACTTGAGGCGCTCACGACAGAGAAATGTCAGGAGCGCTTTTCTCTTGAAAGGCTTGAGGTGCTCGGTGATGCTTTCCTGAAGTTTGCTGTTAGCCGACACCTTTTTCTACACTATGATAAGCTTGATGAAGGACAGTTGACTCGGAGACGCTCAAATGTTGTTAACAATTCCAACTTGTTTAGGCTTGCAATCAGGAGAAATTTGCAGGTTCTCAGAAAGTTCTTATAAAACCTTTGGCTCCCCGTACATTTTAAAGCTGGTTTGAGTTGTTATTGCTGCACAAAACGCAAATTCTGATCCGGTGCATAATGAACCGTCAGGACCCTTTGCCTCCGTACATTGAATATATTCTCAGATACATATGCTGGAAAACAAATCTTTTAGATAGAAGCATACTGAGGTGTATCAATTTAATTATTTCTAGTTTATAATAATCTTTACCCTTGTGCCTTGTCCCAGGTTTACATCCGTGATCAAGCATTTGATCCCACACAGTTCTTTGCATTTGGCCATCCATGCAGAGTAACCTGTGACGAGGTAGCAATGAAAGAGGTTCATTCCTTGGATAAGGGTCAAATGCTTTTTGAGTCAAATACTGGTGAAGTCAGATGTAGCAAAGGCCATCATTGGTTGCACAAGAAAACAATTGCTGATGTGGTAGAGGCTCTTGTGGGAGCTTTCTTAGTTGACACTGGCTTCAAGGGTGCCATGGAATTTCTTAGATGGATTGGTATAAATGTTGATTTTGAATCCTTGAAAGTAAGAGAGGCTTGTGCTGCTAGCAAGCGCTACATGCCACTCACTACTCGCTTCAATTTGGCGGATGTTGAAAACCGGCTTGGCTATAAGTTTCTCCACAAAGGTCTACTTCTACAAGCCTTTATCCATCCATCTTACAACAGGCATGGAGGTGGCTGCTACCAGGTATTTTTTGTTTTCTTCTTATTACTTTTCATTTCTCTCAGTTATATTTATCTATGGTAACCAAAGTTCTCTAATTGGGGTCCGCAGAGATTGGAGTTTCTTGGGGATGCTGTTCTGGACTACTTGATGACATCCTATTTTTACACAGTCTTCCCGAAACTGAAACCTGGTCAACTGACCGATCTAAGAGCGCTCTCAGTAAATAATAAGGCGCTTGCAAATGTTGCTGTCAGATTTTCGCTAGAGAGATTTCTATTTTGCGAGTCCACTTATCTCCATGAAGCTATAAAAGATTATACCAAGTTCCTGGCAGTGTCACCATCTTCAAGTGGACCATCTGAAGGTCCCAAATGTCCAAAGGTGTGTTTGGATCTTCGTTCCATATACATACAATATTTTTTCTGCTTGTATCTTGTATGTTAGTGTGTTTATGGTGGATACTTGTGATAATTCCTTGGAGTTTGGTTCAGAACTTGTCTGGTTTGATAATGCTAAAAAAAAATGTTTCATAGGATAGGGAGATAAGTGCATTCTGTATACTTATTTGCACGACCAAATATGCATCTGTGATCCAGGTAAGAAAATCATGATGAGAGATTCACTCCTTTTGATGATAACTTACACTTCGATAGTCTCAAATGATGTTGAATTCAAGAGACTGCCTATCTCATTAGTCTAGTTTGCGGTCAGTTAGTATCTTAGATATAAGAACATATATTAGCTAGATTAGTGGAAGAACTAATGTAGTTATTATTTTTCTATGGCAGGTTCTTGGTGACTTGATAGAATCTTGTTTGGGGGCTCTTTTCCTTGACAGTGGGTTCAACTTGGATCATGTCTGGAGAATGATGCTATCATTTGTAGATCCAATCAGAAACTTGTCTAACCTGCAACTTAGTCCTGTAAAGGAACTGTTTGAACTTTGTCAGTCTTACAAGTGGGATCAGAAAATATCAGTAACGAAGAAGGATGGTGCTCTTTCTGTTGAATTAAAAGCGACCAAGGAAGGTTCTTGTCTTACAGCTTCCGCGACTGGTCGGAACAAAAAAGAGAGCACAAAAAAGGCTGCACAACTGATGATCACAAATCTGAAGGTAATTTTCTAAAAGAGTCAGAGAAATTGTTGTGCCACGAATTTCTTCAGATAATGTGATGTATTTATATCTGGGCTACCTAGTGCTCATTTATGTAACTGATTCTTTAAGAAATTCTTTGTACAATTCATTTGCAGGCTCATGAGGACATAAAAACCTCCAATCCGTTAGAGGATGTTCTGAAGAATAGCGACCCGGACAAAGCTAAATTGATTGGCTACAATGAAGAGCCCATAGATGTCGTGGATCTTGATGGCTTGGCCGTTGAAAAACTGAGCCTCCAAGAAACTTTAGACGAGGATCTTGTCACTGAGAGCGAGATTAGTGAAACAAGCAGCTCATACTTCATCAGACGCGTTCTGACCGAGACACCATCTGAAAAAGAAGACAGGATTCCCCAAAAGACTATCAGAGAAGCAGGTATTTTCGATAGACAACTTGAGAAGTTTAAAAGATTGAATATTGATTCTTGTCAATTATTAGAAGACTGAGGTATCTTGAGTTATTGATTCTATTACTAAAACTCTACAGGTGGATCGAGCAGCAAAACCGCAAAATCCCTCTTGCGCGAAACATGTGTCGCAAACTTGTGGAAGGCACCAATCTTCGAATGTTGTGAGGAGGGAGGACCAGGCCACCTAAAATCGTAAGTAAATGCTCAATGTCTAAACTTGAGCGAGCGAGAAACTTAATTGAAAAAAATGTCAGTTATTGGATTTGATTGTCATCAATTGTGTGCATGTTTACAGATTCACCTATAAGGTAATCCTGGAAGTTGAAGAAGCCCCAAATATGACATTGGAGTGTTATGGCGAGGCTAGACCAACTAAGAAATGTGCTGCAGAGCAGGCTGCTCAAGCGGCTCTATGGTGCCTCGAACATTCTGGATTCCTTCACCGATGATCTCGAGTCTCTATATTACAGTTAGAAAGAGAGGCTATCATCGTAGGCATATAATTGTATTTAGCTTATATGATCCGATAAGTACGAAAATGATGTCTGAAGTAAGATCCTATGTGATCTTAACTAAACCAAGTATGAACTTAGTGTTAACTGGTCTTAACAGTAGTTAACTGGTCTTAACACTGTTAAATCTTGCTAAAAAGAAAAAGTTAGAATTTGCTTTGCAAGAGTAATATTGTGAAGAAAGAACAAAGGATATGTGATTTGATCTATACAAGAGAATGAAGGAGCAGCTTTTAACTGTATCAATTCAACTCCAATCATAAGAAAAGAGGCGATTATTTGACAGCGAAGTAAACATAGAACAAGAAAATAACAACTAAGATATGGAACAAGCTCTCATACTTGACCACGAGATGAGACTCTGCAAGAGCATCATCCAAAACCATTTTCTTGTCACCGTTCCCTAACTCTCTCACCGTCTTTATCTCTGCCTCAACTCGTCTTTGTACTTCCTGTTCCGTCTTCTCCATCTCCATGATCGCCAGTTTTGCTGTTTTTTCAGCTATTTTAAGTCTTTGCTCTGCTTTCTTTTTCCATATCTCAAGCTCTGCTGCTTTCTCTTTTGCCATAAGAGCTTCTTTGCAGGCGGCATGATACATGTTCATCGTCTCCTTCAGCTCTTTCTTTAGCCTTTTCTTCTCAGCCTCGGCGTCATCTATTGGTAATATTGGGGAAGCTAATGTACTATTCTTTTCATCAGAAGGACTATTAAGATAGATCGAAAATTTGGCTTTTTCATCATCTAGACCAGAGAATCTAGGAGCCTCTAACATGTGTGGAGCCCCAAGTTTCTCATAGAAGGAGAGACCAGAACTCTCTGTACTGATCCTGCCACTAACGTTCACAGGAGTATCCGGGTCAAGAGATGAAAACTCCTCAAAGAAAACGTCGTCTTCCCTTGACAATGACCTGTCAAAATCCAAGAGAGCCAACCAAATTCAAGAAGTTGAACCTCAGGGAATAAAAAGAAGAAGGTTTAGGGTATATTACATCTCAGAGGGGGCCTCATCAGTGGTGGTGTTGCTGATTGGTGACAATGGTCCAGTCCCTGAAGGAGATGGCAAAGCTTGAGGTAAAGGGCGAGTCGCTGACCGTACAGTTGATAGTCTTCCCTTTGCTATGACTAAGACAGTGCAGAAGTCTGGTGCCCATCTCATCACATTACTTGAAATGTCACCAACCTTGAATAACCTTTAAATCAAGAATCATCCAAAACCATTTGTTGAAGAATTTCAGTACAAGATTCTTGGGTTTATGTCAAGTTTCATGGTAATGCTCTTTTCTTCAGTGAGGGGATTACCAATACAATTAACAGAGTAGAAAATGACCTGGTAATGCTCTTCTTCAATGAGGCCCCTAGCAAGAATGTAGAAATACAATTCTGGCTTATATATTCGATCAATGCTTTCGCCACATCCTGATCTTCAAGCAAAACTACTTCGCTTTGTATCTGAAACACCAAATCAAAAGCAGTACAACAATAGACATTATTCAGAGAGAGACACAAAGACCGGTAGCA